AAAAAAAAAAAACCACAAAAACCCAGTTATCATCACATACGCTATTCCATACACCCAATTAATACAACACACTACCTCCAAAAAAAAGTTTGAATTGTATGGTTCCTTGTTAATAAATGTGTAATAGTCAAGACAATCTCTTGGGCTGGGAAGATAAATTAGAGAAGTACTGGCTGTAAGCATAAGGACCTGAGTTCAGTCCCCAGAACATATGTAAAAAAGCATGCACTTGCGATCCCAGGTCTGGATAGGGAGACCAGCAATCTCTGGGTTCACTGGCCAGCCAGTCCAGCCTAATTCATAAGCTCCAAAGGCCAGTGTTCGAACTTGTCTCAATAAGACACAGCTCCTAAAGTACAAAACCTGAGTTTGTACACTGGCTTCTACACATATGCACGTGCAAGTGCATGTGTACCTGCACACACACATGTACTCATGCACACAACTGTGTGACAGATTTTTAAAAATACTTTTATTGTTCTTATTTTATGTGTATGAGTGTTTTGCCTGCCTGTGCCTAAGTGCACCTGTGTTGTTCAATGCCCACAGAAGCCAGAAGAGGGCGTCTGATCTCATGGAACTGGAATTACGGATGTAAGTGGCATGTGGGTTCTGGGAACTGAACCAGACTCCTCTGCAAAAGCCAGAGCCATCTCTCTAGCCCCCACCTGACATATTTTTCATGTGATTTAAAGAATCCTAACTTCACAATGCAGGAAAGCAACTAACATTACATTAAGTGTCACCCACAAACAATAAGGTCTTAGCAAAGAACTTTAAGAACTACTTTCATATTCTTACTAACCCTTTGAAGTTACCCCTTCTTTTTAAGATAGAGAAACCAAGAGTTCGACAAGGTCAACTAACTTGCCCTGAATCACCCAACTACTGTCACACCTGAGATTACAACCAAGAACTATTTGGCTTTACCGTCAGCTTTCTTGACAACATACTGACAGCTCCATTAGGGGTTACTATGATCATAACCTTTATGTAAAATGAATGTGGTGGTCTATACAATGAATTTCTCAAAAATTACAAATAATCAGAATGAGAGCAAACACTGCCTTTGCATCAAATAAGACAAAAATGTGGCTGTCAAACTTTATCTTGACATACTGTAATCCAATCCACAAACAGCTGTTCTTCCACCGCAACACAAACCGTCTCACCAGGCTCAAATTCTTACTAAAGTTGAATTCCTCAGGAACTTTCTTCATGTGTGATCCCCAAGCCTTCTAACAATGGAATAGCTGTCAAAATAACAGTTTCTCTAAACAATAGCATCACTGTATAAGTCTAACTCATAACTTTTTCCCCCTAAACTTCCTTATGATATAGAATTACAGTTCTCATATAATTTCTCACACTTACTTGTGCAAATTGCTTCTGCAGTTTCAAGAGGTGGGGTACATTTTATTCCAAATTCTAGTATATTTTGTCAAGCCAAGTAGAAAAAGCATTTTCTGGGCATTTTTATGTAATCCTAGAAACAAGTATTCAACCTAAGAAGAGTTTTACTAACGTCTCAGAGGATGTAGCATTTTTAATAGGAAATAGAGTGAACTCTGTTCCTGGGTTGAAACTGAAGAAAACTACAAGTTTCAAATGAAGCTTGTACCCAAACTTCTCTAGGGCCCAAAATTTTGACATTAACCACACAAGCCAGTATATAAAGGAACATAGCCAAGTCAATTTACCAGATAACTACAATTTATTCCTAGCTCCACATCCAAGCAGATGTTTAATGTAGAAACTAGGTTCAAGTTTACCTAAGCGTCCTTTTCACACAAATGATTGGATTCAAATTAAATCTCTACTATACCAATAAGAAGAGTGAAATGCAAACTTTTTATAGGAATCATCCTTGTTAGAAAGCCTGCTGGAAAATCCATTTTCTATTCATTTTTCATATATGAAGTTTACAAACTTGCACAAAGGTCAAAAGCTTTACCACTTTCTACACTAATTCTCAAACCTATCTAATGAAGACTTATTTCAAATTAGTGATTTAATTAACTGACATTTCCAGGGCTTACGCCCTTTATACTGTATTTTAGAACAGTATCTACCTTTCAAAGGACCTGTTTACCTAAAACTGAGTTCCTAAACTATCAGAATCAAATATAAAATTCCAAATATGTACTCACGCAACTAAATGAAAACTGGTCTTTCAGTATACAAAGATTCTTAAGAGAAAAACTAAAAATTGAGAACGCATTATACTGTCAATAGAGAGAAGTTTCAACAAGCTCACATCTACCCCACACTCCGAGTACAATACAGTGTAAAAGCTAAACTGATCTCACGTAAGAATGTTTACGACTTTTTCTTTAACTTCCTAGTGTTTCACGGATGTCAAAAAGTGATTCTGTATGGCTGAACTAGGTTAGACTCCAAGCTACAGCGCTGTGAAATACGACCGTCGGAATCAGTAGACCAAATCCTGTTTATGGAGGAAGATTAAAGAATCTTGTGTATAACTCAGGAGGAAAAGAATCTTGTGTATAACTGACTACTAATGCTTCAACGAGATATCGTCGAATAAACACCAATATGGTGACCGATCGGTAGCCAGAATCAGTTCTTCAAAATATAGCCCGGGCTTTCCGGGCTCGGAAGGTGTAAACAAACCTTCCCCACTGCTGAAGGTAAACAATGAACCAGCAGCGGGGTGAGGGGGCGGTCTCTAGCCAACTACCGACCCAGCAGGCCGGGAAAGGGAAGCGGGGAAAAACACGGCATACAAGAGACACTTCGCAGTAACCACCAGCTCTGCATTTCACGCCCAGTTATCAGTGCTACGGGTCCCCAGACGACCGCGCGGGTCAAGAGACACCCATCATGCAGACAGCAAGCACCCAACATGCTGGTCCGGCATCTGTTCCGGAGGACAGGAGGACGGGGCGGGCAGGATGTGGTCGCTCTTCCCTCAAACATCCTCCAGCAACCTAAATAACAACGTCTACCTCGCTCCAGGCCGCCCCCGGGATTAAGCTGCCTGGGAGCTGGGATGGGTACGATTCGGCTCCGGCGGGGGCGCAGAGAGCCCGGGGTCCGGGCCGCGCTCCCGTGCACCGCAGCGGCCCGGGGCCAGAGAAGGGCTTGGCCGAGGGCAGTGGGCGCCGGCCGGGGGATGGGGCCGGGGTCGGCACCGGGCTCGGCTCGCTTGGCCCCTCGCTGGCCCGCGGGTCGCGTGCCGACCGCCCTGGCTCCCAGCCCGACCTTCCCCTGCCGCGGGCCCGCGCCGCTCCTCCCCGGCAGCGCCCCTCGCCGGCGTTACCTCGGGTCAGATCCAGCGGGACGTTCTCCTCGCCGCTGTCATTCCGCCCTGCGCGAAACAGACACACAGCCCCAGTTAGGATTCGCTCGCAGCCCGCGGTCGCCAGCGCCCTGGCTCGTTTTCCCCACCCGGGACCCCGGGCGCACAGCTAGCGCCGAGGTCCCCATCGCGGGTAGCCGCGCCGCGAGGGCGGTACCGGGCTTACCTCGTATTCGAAGGTTCTTCAGAGAGCGGCCGCGGCCGATCGCCGCCATATTGACGGGTTTCAGTCACAACACCGGAAACCTCGCCCAATCGCGCGAGAACCCCTTCCCCTCCCCGCGCGCCGCGCCCGCCCCCCGCGGCAGCGCCCCCGCCCCTCCGTACGGCGGCGGCGACTCGGCTCGGAGCTGCGGCTGCGGACCCGGGATGAGGCACGCAGGGACCCGCGGCCGAGGGAGCGCACGCGTGGCGGGAGGCGCCTTTCCCACGGGCTGGGCGGGGGGGGGGGGTCCCGCGGCTTTGAGGATGCGAACCCTGAGTCCACGCGGCGTCGGCGGCGGCGGAGGAGGAGGAGGAAAAGGAGGAGGAGGAGGCCGGGATGCGGACGGCTGGCCACCTGCTGAAACCGCCCAGCCGCAGTCCGGCTAAGCTTTGAAGCCGCTTCCTTACTCTCAATTGAAGCTATTTTTATTAATGAAAAAAAAAAAAAACCCACGCTCTATACATTGTAGTCGCCCTTCAATCCCGTCCCAGAACGGCTTCGCTTCAAGTGAACACGCTGCAAAGTTTCTTTTCCACCGACGCTCTGACCATTGAGCTAAGCAGCCTCGTACTTGTGAAGCGAAGCCACACGCAGCCGAGTGCAGGCGGGAGGGTGCAGGGCTGCTTTTTGTCCACCTGGCGTTGGACGTGCTAGGAGGGTGCTGAAGCCTTGTTCAGGGCGGTCGTCCCAGCGGGACTGTTCCCCTGCGCGCCAGCGCCAGGAGGCCCAAGGGAGGGTTTCCTCTCTGCCTGGAGCCTGGGGAAAGGAGGCTGCGCTCCCTGTCCTGGTTTTCTGTTTGTGGCTACTACATCACTGACTAATGTAGATGTCCTGCGTGGTTATACTTAATACCTAAAACTAGCAATTATTAATTGAACGGATTCAGTTCTGGAAGCGGTTTAATACGCTCACTTGGCCCCTAACCCAGCATTTTTCTCTTAAACTATTTACTTTAATAAGAGGGTGAGCATTTTGTCTCCAGTTCAACTCGCTCTGTTCCAGGTTTAAAGTAGATCTCTTGTCTTAACCACTTCTTTTCCAAGCTGTAGTTACTACAAATGTCTCAGACAAATAAATATTCGATAAATATTTGTTGAAGGAGTAAACGCCTTGGCTGTCTTCCATGTTATAATGTTCTTCATGCCTTTTTTAAAAAAAGAAAAAGTATTATTGGAAAGATATCTACTGCCTTGGTTAATAATAGTCAACGACTGCGAACTCCTAAGTGACCAAAGGTAGAGATTGTGTGTGCAAATATGGCAGCCATTTAAAATGACTATGTTGATCTAGTTTAGTAATAGTGTATGATATTAAACCAAGGAGGAAATTGCAAATTTTCGGGTTTTATAGATGTCTGAAATAGATACAGGATTAAAAGCGTATAGGATTTTTTTATGTCCACATGGGTAGAAAAAAATCCGAGAAATGTATCCGAATGTTAACTTTTTTCTCTCAGTTGTGTAATCGCATCTGCCCTTTTTGTTCTTGATTGGTCGTCTAACCTTTAAGTGTACTGTGGTTGGCATATGACAACTGTAGAAAAAGTAAAAGGTTTTAAAAGAAAATAAAAGGACCATCATCGGGAAATAAAGTAGGAGTAGTGCTTTCTTAAGATGCTGCCTTTTGTTTATTCCAGGTCCTTGGCTGTGGGGCCGCCTTCTGATTCTTGCTGCTGCTATTGTGCTTAGATTTAAGGATCTAACACAATTACAGCACTTTAAAAAAAAAAGCTCCTGACATTATCAATATTAGCTTTAATAACAAACTTGCTTCCGTTTTAACAGTTTTCAAGTCTCACTGAAAGTTATTTATCCTATTTCCTGCCTAAGACAACAACAACAAAACTTGAGGTCTTGCCAGAACATTAAGAATTTTATATTTCATCCCTGCATATATTACCATCTTTCATTATTTTTAAAAAGTAGAAATCTAGCCGGGCGTGGTGACACACGCCTTTAATCCCAGCACGTGGGAGGCAGAGGCAGGCAGATCTCTGTGAGTTCAAGGCCAGCCTGGTCTACATAGTGGGTTCCAGGACAGCTGGGGCTACAGGGAGGAAAAAAAAAAAAAAAAAAAAAAAAAAGAAAGAAAAAGTAGAAATCTATCAATGGAAACTCTACCAGATTCCAGATTCTTACAATAGTTCTAATTTTCAAGCAATCATTTTGATTCTATTATTTATCCTTATCCATTTTAAACTAACTATTCCCTAACATGGTTTACCTTCATTTTCTTGTTCAGTCTATCCTGAAAGTAAATACAACTGATGTACTTTAAATTACTTGAGGGACTTCTGGGCCTGAACTCAAAAGACTTTATCTCATAACTGTATATTCTTATTTAAAGACCAGTATTCAATTACTCTATCTCTTCCAGGAGAAAAATAAATACGTACTTTCTTCAATCTGACATAATTTCCTTCTGCTACCATTTCATTCCACTATGTTCTTAAAGCAGTTAGCGTTTTAGTCAAAAGAACAAATTCTTAATGTTTGCAAATGACACTCAACTGGAAAGCAGTTTAGATAAGTAATGATAAACCATGCATAATGTTATGTTTGCTTTTTAAACAATACCACTCATGTTGACCCCAGAACACGTTATTTATTTTTTTTAAGAACCAGTTATTTGATACTTATGTTCCTCTTTAAACTTGTTTTTTTCCTTGTTTATTTTAACCCACCCGAATGACTTACTCATTTTGTTTACTTCTTACTACTTCTGTAATTTGATTTTGATTCTAATCTAGTCATTGTGGATGTGACTTCCTCTTCTTAGTTTTCATTTCCCAGCTAGCTTTCTTTTGTTATGTCAATGAATGTTTTTTTCTGATAATATTAGTCATTGATAAAAAAAAATGTTACAAGAGATGGAGTCCAATACCACACCCCTAAATGATAACTGCTTGATTTTGAATATACAGTGACATCATTGATAGTCACTGTCTGGGTTCAATTCCCTATCCTGGTGCATACAGTTAATAATTCTAAAACCATATTTTAATCAGTTTGGGGCACCGTTGTAATGCTGAACAGAAACAAAAGCTTCCTTGCCAAACTCTTAGTTCCCTTTAATCTGTCTGCTTTGCTACAGAGGCAGTATGAGGATAAAACAAGCTGAACCACAAAGCTTGGTCAGACCATTTCTTGGTAACTTCTCTTTGTAGTCCAGTCACTCGTTTAATATCTAGATGAAGGCCATTAAAACAACAGACAATGGACTCCGTGAAACATATGTTACAATCCTACTCTGGGTAGATTGTGAAGATCCATCTTCGATCACAACAAAATAGTTAAATTTTTAAGTTTAAGATTTTATGAATAATTATTTTAGGATTCCTTTATATTTTATCCTGTCCCAATATAATAATTTAAATTTAATTTTAAACAGTTATAGAAGATATAAAGACCCTCTACAGAAACAGTTTTAAATTAAGAATAAATTTACATTTATTGCTAACGTAATGTAGGAGGGAGTGCAATCCAGTTTCAACAGTGATTATGGAGTGGCAGAAATTTTTTGAGTGAGTTCTTTTCTTTATTGGTCTCGCTTTATACTAAAACAAATTTTTTACTTGCATAATCTTTTGTAGGGAAAACTAGAGAAATTTTGTTTGCCATTTTAAAATCAAATTATAAACATTTGTTTGTAAATAATTTGCTAAGCAGTTTCAAAATTGCTTTTGTACTGTCATCATTAAAAAAAACATTTGCATATGTACTCCAATACATATATATTTACCTTCTTATCAAGTTAAAAAAGATAAAGATGAAATAAAAATCATTAAAGGTTGTTACTTTTCTAATGGTATAGGTAGTAGAAATGAGACAAAATATATGTTTTTCCTATATTTCTTGTTGAACCCTCTGTAGTAGCAATTCCAAAGACTAGTTCTAAAAATGGAATTTAATAAAGATAAAACCTCACAAAAATCAAATAGACTTATTCTATTTCCTAGTTTCTAAACCATAACACTTGTTTTCCAGTTCCACCCATCAGTTATACAAAGATTTGTTCTAAGTAATTCCACTGATACATGTCCATCTTCCTTCGTATTGGCCAGTCTCCCCAGATAACTAGAAGAAATAAAATTGGGAAAATTTCAGCAAAAGGTTGCAAAATGATTTCAAAACCATTCATTTGAAAGATATTTAAGCAGATCAGAAAACTGTTTCCATGATTTTTAAGAGTGCAAATTTGAAATTTTATGGGACATGTTTATATTTTAATTGTGGTCAGAAAAAAAATCACATCACTATGAATCATTTCCAGCTGTTTTCTAACTGTTCTTGTCCTAACACACGTTTCTTTTGAAAGTAATGATGTTCTTAGCTATTGTTAACATATTTGTCGTAAAGAGAAAGATTACACTTTTAAAATATGATAGATAGCATGCTTTTGGAAGCCACTGGTCATAGGGGTCAGGGGCTTTAAAAAAAAAAAACAACAAAACCCTCAAGCATATATATAGTACAAAAAAATTTTGTGCTTCTCAACAAAGCAGAAATTAAACTTGGATGTAAGGGCTTGTTTCTATAAAATTATCACATTTAGAACTATATCCTCTTAAAATTTTATATGCAGGAACTACTTCTTCAACTTTCTTTTGCTCTCTTTAAGGAAGTTATTTGCTAAATTGGACACATGTTCTTCGGAATTTTTTATTATGATGGAACAGGGGGAAAAGTAGTTATTTGTATATTTCAGTACTAGAGATAATTCAGCACATGCCAAAAGCTGACACAAATTTAAAAGCAACTGTGCTGAGCCAACTGCACAGCAAAACTTCAATAATTCCAGTATATTCAAAGACCTTTTTAAATCTTTAGCCCTCCTCCCACTTCTGCTGGTTTACCAATGAAGCTCCATTTCAGATTTGTCTTTTATTTGTTTCTACTGTAGAAAATAGAATTGTATTCCACACTGATAATGTGGCCTTTTGTCTAATGACTAAAAAGAAATATCTCCTTTTAGAAAGTAGTCAGTTCAATAGTGTATGACTTCTAACATCATTAAAAGGATAATTATCCTC